GAATTACTAAACCAGGTAATCGAGAAAGAATTTCCAGGTTATCAGGTGCCCAATCAATTAAAGGTTCTAGGCGTGGAATGGAACACCAGTACTGACGAGATGAATGTCAAGCCAGTACAAACCGATAACTCAACCCTTACCATGAGAACACTGCTCTCGTTTGTCAGTCAACCATTTGACCCTTTAGGCTTACTTAGTCCTATATTAATAAGGGGCAAACTCCTAATGCAGGAGTGCTGGCAGAAACATATGGGATGGGATGATCCGTTACCAAGTGAGTTACAAGCTAAATGGCAGATACTCTCAACGGATTTTAATCAGTTAAAGCTAAATGGCAGATACTCTCAACGGATTTTAATCAGTTAGGTGTTTTGAAATTTCCTCGTAATGCTTCAGGACCAAACTTACCCACCAATTTGCACGTTTTCTGCGATGCCTCTGGCAAAGCATACGGCGCTGTAGCCTACTTAGTTAATAGTGCACAATCAATTTTGCTCACCTCTAAAGCAAGAGTTGCTCCCATTAAGAAGAGATCTTTACCTCAAATGGAGTTGACTGCATTGCTGGTGGGAGTGAGATTGGCTCATTGCCTGACAAAGACACTCAATAATATCCACTTTGGTGAGATTGTCGTGTGGTCAGACAACGAGGCAGTCTTAGAATGGGTAAGAAACAACAACAACAAGACTCCCTACGTCAGTAATCGTGTTAGGGAAATTTATGAGTTATCTGCTGGATATAAATTCAGACATGTTCCTACTAAGGACAATCCTGCAGATTATTTATCTCGAGGGTTAACGATAAAACAACTTATCAAGTCTTCGCTGTGGTTCAATGGACCTTCATGGCTTGTTGGTGGTCAGTGGCCCAAACAAAAGCCACAAGTCATAGTGACCAATATCACCACTCCCATGAAAGAACCAGAACCTCAACGAATCTTAGCCATTGATCCTCACAATTATTCTAACTTAAGTAAGTTATTAAGAGTGACTGCACATGTGTTTGACTTTCTTGCTAAGATAGGAATTCGACATAAGTTTCCCAATCCTATCCTCTATTGGATCAAACGTGCACAACAAGAGACATATGGAAGCGAATATGAAAATCTTCCAGATAAATTAACTAAGTCTCTAGGTATCTGGTATGATGCCAACACTCACAATATACTAAGATATGGAGGACGTTTGCTTCATGCAAAAATTGAACTGGACACAAAAAATCCAATTCTTCTACCGCGTCACCACATCATCACTAAACTTCTTGTTTTACATCACCATCAATATGGTACTTTACATGGTGGAGTGTTAGATACTCTCACCGACCTTAGACAAAAGTACTGGCTTCCTCAAGGTCGTCAGACAGTTAAGTCAATAATTAAATTCTGTGTAATCTGTAAAAGATATGATGCTAGAGTATGTCCTTACCCAGGGCCTCCTCCACTCCCTGAAGAAAGAGTGGTTCATCTTCGTCCTTTCGAAACCACTGGTGTTGATTACACAGGAGCCTTACTTCTCACTGGCAACCCAGATAAGATACCAGTGAAAGCATACATTTGTCTCTTTACGTGTGCTACAACCAGAGGCGTACATTTAGAAGTGACTTCAGATATGAGTGCTGAAGCCTTCATCCAGGCCTTCCGCAGATTTGCTGCTCGCAGATCTTGTCCCAAACTAATGATATCGGACAATGGTTCCAATTTTGTGGCAGGAGAAGTTTGTCTACGAGAAGTCTGGAACCACCCAGAAGTACAGTCAGTCCTGCAGAGACGACAATGTCACTGGAAATTTATAGCACCAAGAGCCCCTTGGCAAGGTGGGTTCTATGAGCGAATGATAGGCACAATCAAGAAGTTTAAGAAAAACTTTACACAGACAAAAGGTCAGTTACTCCGAGCTCCAAACCATTGTTGTGGAAATCGAGGCGCGAGTCAATAACCGCCCATTAACCTACCTGTCTGATGATTTCTCCCAGAGAGAGCCTCTGAGTCCCTCACACTTGATCCATGGAGGTCTACTGAGCCCTCTCATCCCTTTAGCCGAAGAGGACCCCGTAGACCCGTCACATGTGACCAGAGGTGACTTGGTGGAAAGCTACCAGCATCTCTCAAGAGTTATTAACAGGTGGAATGAGGTGTGGACTCGAGAGTACCTCACAGCTCTACGAGAGTACCACTACGGAGCTTCGAGTCCTTACAATAAAGTGCAACTAAAACCAGGGGACCTAGTACTAGTCGACAGTGATGGACCAAGGTCAGAGTGGCCCATAGGCAAAATTGTTGCCATTCATCCAGATCATCAAGGTGTCCTGAGAGTACTGAAAGTTTTATGCCGAGGCAACACTACTCTAAAAATAGAGAAGCTGGTTCCTCTTGAATTGGCTGAGCGAGAACATCAACCAGAACTAGCTTCCCCAGTAGTTTCCGAGGACAGTAATTCTGATCCTCTGAGCAACCGCCCCACTAGAGCTGCTGCTCAACAATGTAAGCGGAAACTGCAAGCCTATTACAGCTCTGACCAAGAGTTATTCCTTTTACATCCAATTTAGATAACTATGATGATACTGTGGTGTGATGTCAAGTAACAAACCATTACAAGTCACTATGACCCAGGACATTCTCATCACCGTAGATTCTGTTGTTTGAATTGTGTGATTTAAATCTTTAATTGTTGTATAGGCTATAAATAACATTATTTATCTAGAGTACCTGAGAGTTTGCAGACGTTGAGATTTTGTAACATACACATTACATGTCATAGCGACACCAATCTCAGAGTTTATTGTAAGCTTTCTTAATTATCAGCTTTAGGTAATTCATAATAACATGTTCCATTTAACATGAAATCAGCAAGACTTAAGTTTCTTGTATGTCCTTGACAAATACGGGACATTCGTTATGTGTGTACTAACATACTAACATACTAACATACTAATATTAATACCAACTTTGGGATGGGTGTGTCAGTACTCCACATTACACTGCGACCCTAAAACTTTCCTCCCGGAGTTATGTTGGAAATTTCCAACACTAAATACAACACTGTTGTATTATTATTAATTATTACTAAATCTACTAATCATTATAGTGATTAAAATTAACCAAACGTAGAGTTCACATGTACTAATAATTACATCTGTACAATAAGGCTAGAATTCTTACGTCACCAGACGCCAGTATTGCGTCAGATTCCATTATAATAAACACAACTATATCCAGTGTGTCTGAGAATTGAATTTGATTCTCTATAAAACAACGGTGTTCTGTGTGATAATTAATTACAGATAAACTGATCCCCAACTAATGCCAAATAGAGCGTTTATAGTTATAACTGTTATCTGGTAATAAATTTAACGTCACGCGTGAATGCCCTGGAGAGACTTTAATTCATCTCCATTGCTCGTTTACCATCGTAAAACGGGCAAATAATAATATTTAACTCCTCTGAATAATAAACCCGTCCTTATCCGAGCATTTCAATCACAACTGCGAGAAATGATAATATTCGTAGTAAATAATTTGTGTATCAAACGCGGGACGCGGAGCGGGGCAGGGGAGACGCTAGTACACGAGGCGACGCGCTCAGAGAGAGATGCCATTACCCAAGCCACCAGGGTAGACGCCATCACGAGCTCCAGATGAAAGTCACCACTGTGAGGTGTGAAGAACCTTTGCAGATAACAACTTAGCTGGTGTCAGTGTCACTTTACACATCGTGTTGAACTGTCAAGAGATTTAATTTGACATTCAGCCAGGAACCTGTTAAATTTGCTTCGGTGTAGCCCAACGTGACCGGCCAGTGAAGCGCGTCGCATCTAGGATAGGCTCGACACCACGTGTTCGTTACAACGACGCCTGAACCTAGGACGCGAACTTCGGCAAGCCTTAACTTACACAGTGCCCTATTAGCTAAGTACCTTTATTCCCATTTGATGCATCATTTAGGGGGGGGGTTATAGCTGGGTAGCTTGTCGTCACGCAGAGCGACTATAAAAAACCACAGGTTATTATTTGCCTCCATTATTTAATCTAATTTTCTTGAACATAGATGTCTAGCAGTTTAATCTGTTGCTACTGAATATAATTTGATTTACAGCGTGTGTGAAGAATTCCCCGAGCTGTCATTTCCCGTGTTAATCATCTCCCAGTGTTCCATGATGAGTCCAGGAGATTCCGAGGATGAGTCATAACAGATGTCTTGGAAATCGTCTTCAAGCTAAGACTCTTTCCGTATTCCTTAAATTCCATTATCTCTAGTAATATTCATGCAGAGCACTGTTTCTTTGGATTGACATGTGTTTATTATAATTATTAATTTCTCATGTTCATAATCTATGTTCTTATTGGTGACAAATATAATGATTCTATAACTGGTCATAGGATTAGATTATTGCTTAATGAACTGGTGCACGAACCACACTAGTTCCTGGACATATATGAAGTTCCAGTAATAACCCCCCAATGTAGGTGTTTGAGGCTTTGATTCAGTTAAATTATACAGCCCATTAATTATATAAGTGATCATATTCTCTAGTATTTTATCCATAGTTACTGGTTCATCTAGGAATTTTCCAATGATCATATTTTATTAGTTTCCCTCTTTACTATAAAAGCGGGTGGTCCTTCGTAATTGATTTTCATTACATTAATATTTAAATAAATAGAGTCAAACCCCAAATGTCCCACAGTTAGGTTAGGTTCTTAAAATTATTTTGTTTTTAAAAGAATGCCGTTTGGGCTAATTCAATACAGCAATACAAATTGAAAATTATTTGTTGGTTCAACACTACATATCGATACTTGGACCAAATACTTGCTATAAGTACTATCATGTTATGAGGACGTGCTGGTGTGTATTTGCTACCATTTACTGATTTTTGTATAGTCAACTAGAATATGTCTTACGTCTTACGCAATGTTTCATGTTATCTGGGGTTAGGTGATCTTGAACAAGGTCATCATTAATGGGGTTGATTTATTCACCTTATTTTCGTTTACTCGTCAGGTACTTCCACCAAACAGCTCAACTGCTCACATTAGACCCAAAATTACTGTGTGTCAGCGCCTATTACAGCAACGCCTTCAACCACACGGCCCTCGACCCCACGCGTCTCTACAGGGTCCACGGAGCCCCTGCCTATGGCTGGATGGTCAGGAGAAAAGTGGCAAATGAAATGATCAACAACTGGGTTCCTATGAACAAGGTCAGGAGTATTTATGAGGCACAGTTGTAGGTTTCAGTCTTGATCAGTCAACCGGCAAACACAACTCCATTTAATTTATGATTCACTTGCTTTTCTTTCATTGGGGTTTTGCTCAATAATTCATTTAACTAATATATTAAAAAAACCAGGTCTACAGTCACAGTAATTGTGTAAGGAATGAATGTTCTCTTTGGTTGGAATTTATTTTTGAATTTCACTAATCTTATTTCACAATTAATCATTTATAAGATACCCGGAAACGATAAATTTATGGTTAAAATCTCATAGTTGACTGTGCCACAGAGTGCGGACTGGGACCTGTGGGTGCGAATAAGTGTGATGGGTGATCGGGACATCCTGGTGCCGGAGATCCCACGCACCAAGCACCGTGGGGGAGGGGGAGTCCACGTCACCGGTATAGAACAAGAGCAGTACTACAACCAGCGGCCCCTCAACGCTCTCCTCAACGTCACCCTCGACCTCCATGGGTAAGTTGTCACCCTCCACGTCCACGGGTAAGTTGTCACCCTCGACCTCCACGGGTAAGTTGTCACCCTCGACCTCCACGGGTAAGTTGTCACCCTCCACGTCCACGGGTAAGTTGTCACCCTCCACGTCCACGGGTAAGTTGTCACCCTCCACGTCCACGGGTAAGTTGTCACCCTCCACGTCCACGGGTAAGTTGTCACCCTCCACGTCCACGGGTAAGTTGTCACCCTCCACGTCCACGGGTAAGTTGTCACCCTCCACGTCCACGGGTAAGTTGTCACCCTCCACGTCCACGGGTAAGTTGTCACCCTCCACGTCCACGGGTAAGTTGTCACTCTCCACGTCCACGGGTAAGTTGTCACTCTCCACGTCCACGGTTAAGAAAACAACAAATTTAATAAATAATAAACAATATTAATTAGGTAAACAAAAATGCAGGAAGAAATAATTAGTTCAATATGATTTTTTCACTTGCATTAAACAGAAAAAAGTGAAGGGACAAAGTTTATATAAGTAGCCAGAAAAAACAATGATTTCGATCTCAACGTGCACTGGTCCACAGGGCAGAGCTGGACAACTACCTCAAGTTGCACACAAGCAACATCCGTACAGGACATGTGGTGCACTTCAGTAAGCACCCGTGTGTGGAGCTGCCCATACCCCGGCACCAGGTGAGTGCCAATGTCAGCTGCCCATACCCCGGCACCAGGTGAGTGCCAATGTCAGCTGCCCATACCCCGGCACCAGGTGAGTGCCAATGTCAGCTGCCCATACCCCGGAACCAGGTGAGTGCCAATGTCAGCTGCCCATACCCCGGCACCAGGTGAGTGCCAATGTCAGCTGCCCATACCCCGGCACCAGGTGAGTGCCAATGTCAGCTGCCCATACCCCGGCACCAGGTGAGTGCCAATGTCAGCTGCCCATACCCCGGCACCAGGTGAGTGCCAATGTCAGCTCCCCATACCCCGGCACCAGGTGAGTGCCAATGTCAGCTGCCCATACCCCGGCACCAGGTGAGTGCCAATGTCAGCTGCCCATACCCCGGCACCAGGTGAGTGCCAATGTCAGCTGCCCATACCCCGGCACCAGGTGAGTGCCAATGTCAGCTGCCCATACCCCGGCACCAGGTGAGTGCCAATGTCAGCTGCCCATACCCCGGCACCAGGTGAGTGCCAATGTCAGCTGCCCATACCCCGGCACCAGGTGAGTGCCAATGTCAGCTGCCCATACCCCGGCACCAGGTGAGTGCCAATGTCAGCTGCCCATACCCCGGCACCAGGTGAGTGCCAAGTACTGTGTCAACGTGAGGTTATCTTAATGTTGTCTTCATAATAGAGCTGGTATAATTCTGTTGCTTTGCTTGAATATTCAGTCTTCACTATGATGAAGCACACTCCTTTCCGTCCAACTTTTTTCCTTCCAAAATATATCATAATGTTCTTCAGATGAACCAGAGTTACGTGGTGTATGTGAACACGCCATTGGGGGTGGGATTCTATGCGGCCTACGTAGTTGTCGCCAAGGTGAGTAATTCTGCTATTCTGACTCATTTGTGAGAATCACTGCCATATTCTCATGTTATTATTATAATATTTATTCCCATTGATGATAGTTCTAGTGAAACCCTGATGTTGGAGTAACATCCTGGAAACATTACCAAACCCCATGACATGTCCCCATCTCCGGCAGTGTCTGGGGCTAGACGATCATAACTTCATCGATAACCTGAAGATGATGTCCACAACTTCCTTCTACGGTAACCAGCTCTACGTCATCGGCTGTCCCACCTCCCCCTTCTGGTGAGTTACTGCAAACATTACTGGATTATGATGAGCTAACTAGAATGTTTAAAATTCTGTGGCAGAGTAGAATAAATGATTTAGCACGTTGTTTACAGATTGTCAATAATTATGTTTTCAAAACGTACAATGAACCTTCTGAAAGTTGTCACAGATATGTAGAAGTAAAATACCTGCAAACTATGTTCTTCCATGATGCAGCTGTTCATCTTTATCATAATGTATAATAAATGTTTGTTTTGTTTAAATCATATAATAATTATAAAGTAAATTTTTATGAATAGTCAGGCATTAGTTATGTGTGTATATATATATATATATATATATATATATATATATATATATATATATATATATATATATATATATATATATATATAAGTAAGATTAATAATTCTAACACGAATTTTCTCAATGTTTCTTATATTTTTCTTCACTGTTCATGGTAACTGAAAAATCAATTCTCCAAAATTCATTTTTATTTCTAGTCTGATGCGACACTTGAGCACGTTTCGTAAAACTTATTACATTTTCAAAGACTTTAGTTTACACACACACACACAACTTTAACTGAATAGAGCTTAAACATCTTCGAGTTTATATACCTACATTTGGGTGAGGTGACATGTTACAATAGTTTTGGATGAGGTGAAAATAAACTTTTAACACAAGACAGGACACGAAACAATGGGTATTAAAGGTAGGTAACTGCAGAAGGCCTATTTTTATTGGCGCATATTTCTTGATGCTTCTATATTGAAGCAGAGTCTTGAAGTGGGTAGAATATAGTTGTGCATTAATTGGCTGTTGATTGCTGGTGTTGACTTCTTGATGTGTAGTGCCTCGCAGATGTCAAGCCGCCTGCTATCGCTGTATCTATCGATGATTTCTGTGTTGTTTGCTAAGATTTCTCTGGTGATGATTTGGTTGTGGGAAGAGACTATATGTTCCTTAATGGAGCCCTGTTGCTTATGCATCGTTAAACGTCTGGAAAGAGATGTTGTTGTCTTGCCTATATACTGAGTTTTTTAGGCTTACAGTCCCCAAGAGGGCATTTGAAGGCATAGACGAGGGCCAAAATAAAGAAAATCACTCGGCCTATTAAGCAAATCGGGCCTTGCATAGTAGGCCGAGAGGTGCATTCTGGCTACTAGGTATGACACACACATATATAAATATATATATATATATATATATATATATAATTTATTTATATATGTGTGTGTCATACCTAGTAGCCAGAATGCACTTCTCGGCCTACTATGCAAGGCCCGATTTGCTTAATAGGCCGAGTGATTTTCTTTATTTTCAATAAATTGTTTACTGTTGGTTTATTTTAAATATTATTATTATCATATTATACTAAGAACTTAAATTATTGATTTAGTTATGTTAGTTCAGGTTTGGTTAAGGTGGTTCAAATAGCTTCGGATATCACTTCATTATGTCCGGTCGCGATGGTCAAGCGGATTAAGGCGTCCTGTAGATACCAGTTGCGTTGCTCCTGGGAGTATGGGTTCGAGTCACTTCTGGAGTGTGTGAGCTTTAAGTCACATATAGTCCTGGGGACCATTCAGGCATGTTCGCATTTGTGTTCCTCACGTGTGCCCCAAAGAATGAGGTGATTTGATAAAATGCTATGCCCAAGACTACCATCCGAGTGCCAACGAGGAAGTGGTTCAAATAGCTTCGGCTATCACTTCCTTATGTCCGGTCATGATGGTTAAGCGGATTAAGGCGTCCTGTAGATACCAGTTGCGTTGCTCCTGGGAGTATGGGTTCGAGTCACTTCTGGGGTGTGAGTTTTCACTCGAATATAGTCATGGGAACCATTCAGGCTTGTTCGCATTTGTGTTCCTCACGTGTGCCCCAAAGAATGAGGTGATTTGATAAAATGCTATGCCCAAGATTACCATCCGAGTGCCGGCGGGGAAGTGGTTCAAATAGCTTCAGCTATCACTTCCTTATGTCCGGTCGTGATGGTCAAGCGGATTAAGGCGTCCTGTAGATACCAGTTGCGTTGCGCCTGGGAGTTTGGATTCGAGTCACTTCTGAGGTGTGAGTTTTCAGTCGCATATAGTCCTGGGAACCATTCAAGCTTGTTCGCATTTGTGTTCCTCACATGTGCCCCAAAGAATGAGGTGATTTGATAACATGCTATGCCCAAGATTACCATCCGAGTGCCGGCGGGGAAGTGGTTCAAATAGCTTCGGCTATCACTTCCTTATGTCCGGTCGTGATGGTCAAGCGGATTAAGGCGTCCTGTTGATACCAGTTGCGTTGCTCCTGGGAGTATGGGTTCGAGTCACTTCTGGGGTGTGAGTTTTCACTCGAATATAGTCCTGGGAACCATTCAGGCTTGTTCGCATTTGTGTTCCTCACGTGTGCCTCAAAGAATGAGGTGATTTCATAAAATGCGATGCCCTAGATTACCATCCGAGTGCCGACGGGGAAGTGGTTCAAATAGCTTCGGCTATCACTTCCTTATGTCTGGTCGTGATGGTCAAGCGGATTAAGGCGTCCTGTAGATACCAGTTGCGTTGCTCCTGGGAGTATGGGTTCGAGTCACTTCTGGGGTATGAGTTTTAAGTCACATATAGTCCTGGGGACCATTCAGGCTTGTTCGCATTTGTGTTCCTCACGTGTGCCCCAAAGAATGAGGTGATTTGATAAAATGCTATGCCCAAGATTACCATCCGAGTGCCGGCGGGGAAGTGGTTCAAATAGCTTCGGCTATCACTTCCTTATGTCCGGTCGTGATGGTCAAGCGGATTAAGACGTCCTGTAGATACCAGTTGCGTTGCTCCTGGGAGTATGGGTTCGAGTCACTTCTGGGGTGTGAGTTTTCAGTCGAATATAGTCCTGGGGACCATTCAGGCTTGTTCGCATTTGTGTTCCTCACATGTGCCCCAAAGAATGAGGTGATTTGATAAAATGCTATGCCCTAGATTATCATCTGAGTGCCGGCGGGGAAGTGGTTAAAATAGCTTCGGCTATCACTTCCTTATGTCCGGTCGTGATGGTCAAGCAGATTAAGGCGTCCTGTAGATACCAGTTGCGTTGCTCTTGAGAGTATGGGTTCAAGTCACTTCTGGGGTGTGAGTTTTCAGTCGCATATAGTCCTGGGAACCATTCAGGCTTGTTCGCATTTGTGTTCCTCACATGTGCCCCAAAGAATGAGGTGATTTGATAACATGCTATGCCCAAGATTACCATCTGAGTGCCGGCGGGGAAGTGGTTCAAATAGCTTCGGCTATCACTTCCTTATGTCCGGTCGTGATGGTCAAGCGGATTAAGGCGTTCTGTAGATACCAGTTGCGTTGCTCCTGGGAGTATGGGTTCGATTCACATCTGGGGTGTGAGTTTTCAGTCATATATATATATATATATATATATATATATATATATATATATATATATATATATATATATATATATATATATATATATATATATATATATATATTCATTTTTGTAAGGAGTTAGGAGCAAGAGATTCTACTGTAGTTGGTTACAAGTGTTAGGTATGACCTGTGTATGTACTGTGTTAGGGATGAAGACAGAGTTACGGATGATCTATAAGTAATTATCAAAAGAAGGCTCACCAAGCCGGGAAGAATTGTAAGGAAAGAGGTATTTAGAAGAGGAGACGTAATGTCCATACATGAAATTTCACGAATGCGGCTAATTTCATGTCAGATCCTCTAAATGAACTTCTTTGCTTTCCCATACGAATGCTGAGTGATGACACCCCAATAAAACCACAGTCCATATCTTAAATGCAGACTGCATTTAGACAGGTTTTAAAAGAGCAGTGGAAACTACTGACACGACTAAAACCAAGATATGTGGTTCAGGATATCAGTGTAGTGTTATTTCCAGTTTGGCATTTAGAAAATATGAAACAGTGACTTTGTCACATCTTACTGCTAAGAGGGATATCCGGCTGTGCCCGGGTCTTTCTTCCCTCCTTTCTCATCTCTCTTTCCCTATCTACTTTCTCTTCCCATAACATTTAATATGCTGGATAAATTTTAGGGAAGATAGCAAAGCTAGCCCGAAACATCTAGCCGCCTACTGTGACACCTCTATAAATATAAACTAATAATGTAACACTACTACTCATTTGTAACACCACTATACATTACCACTAATGGTTACACTGGAACCAAAGGTACACTTCCAAGGAAATGCTACACTGGATTAACTACGCTGTCACCATCTGCCTGTCCATTAACTATATCAAGCAACAAGGCAAAAAACATTGCTTGACTTGGAGAGTCCTTTTTTTTAACTGACATTTATTACGGGACGGTTGTTAGCAAACTATATCCAGATTCTAAGAGGATCCAACAATTGACACAGATGGAGAGTTTAACATGAATGTATTGAGAACAAATTATGAAATTCACCAACTATAAATCCCTACTTTGACACTAGCAATTGTTACGTGTTTTTAGACATGGAAACGTATCAAAGATCAGACACATTACCATAAGACCACACTCTCTGCCTCTCAGTCTGGTGGATTCACTCTGTCTCCTGAGGCTCGCCTGATGACCTGCAGCGTCACACTGCCTCCAACACTCCAGCACTCTATCTCCTAACTATCATACAGAGGTATATATACAACTGAATCAGGAGGGGGGGGGCCGTTTTACACTGTTGTGGGAAAGTCTGGTGTGGTCCTGTTCCCAGCTGATTCAGCCTACTCGGGAAAAAGTGTTTTGCACACCTAAATAGTTGGTCAGCACATCAGGGCGTCAGCTTCCCATAATGTACAAAAAAACACTCAAGATGTACCATTAAGTTATTTATCAAGACTATCAGGATTATCCATAAACAGGAACAAGCTGACTAGGGAGCCAGAAAATATTTCAATTAACTCTAGGTGAATCTGAGGTCATAGGCTGACCTTACCAGGACGTTCCCATGGTGAGTCATGGGTGTACTCTCTGGGCGTTACACTACTTTGGACAGACAGCTAGGAATTCTCTCTTACCGATATAGACATTTGCAAGTTAAACTATTCAATTCTTAAACTAATGTATTGGTTCTCATATTTCTGCAGCATGACTACGAGGGCAGAACACATCTACAGCGTGACTCTGAAGGATATAGATTACGCTATCTCGCATCCCTTCAGGAAGATAACCATGATCGGGCATGAGGCTGTAAGGAAACCAACAATCTCATTATCAGAGGAGCTAATTCTCAAAAGCCGCGCCCATTACTACTTTGAATAATGCACCGTGCATCTGTGTATTTACTATTTGTGTCTGCAGAATCAAGCTATTAGCTCTTGGACCCCTGCCTTTCTAACCAATCTATTTTTTCTCTATTATATCTACTAAATATATTTCTAACACATGCACATCCACATCCACAGAAAGCAGCATGTGGCAGCTATCTAACTCCCAGGTACCTATTTACTGTTAGGTGAACAGGGACATCAAGGGTAAAAGAAACTCTGCCCATTTGTTTCTGCCTGTGTGTGTGTGTGTGTGTGTACTTACGCGATTGGTAAAAATTTTATCTGGAAGTGGAATAATGAGCAGTGTATATATATTAATGACAAAATATATCTCTTAAAGGACAAAACATAACTGCCTCCACATTCATAATTAGGCAGAAACCCGAGCGACAGTCGCATAAATCAAGAGAGCTGTGAGAGTACTAACCACTCAGGGAAAGAAAATAAAATTCCTATGGATTCCCTCCCATGTTGGAATCAGTGGAAATGAAGAAGCAGATGTGCTGGCTTCTGAGGGCGCTGAAGATCATATTGAATACTTCATAAGCAAAACTCCTCTAGTTACAGGTATCATCAGACAGCACCACCGTGACAAGGTAACTGTCAGAGGCTGTACCTCTGCCTAGCTTACATATGACTGATAGAAGAAGCAGATTACCATTTTGCTTTCAGATAATAATAATAATAATAATAAAAATAATAATAATAATAATAATAATAATAATAATATTTTAGTTAGGAAAAGTACATACATAGGTGCAGAGTTACAAACATTCTGATTGATTTATAGATAGAGCTATTACATACAATACCTAAAGCCACTAGTAAACATAGCGTTTCGGGCACGCTAGATATTTTCATATTTATAAATATAGATATTTTCAGAGAGTGCACGAAATTCTAACTTCTTTAATATAGAAGCTAGAAGGTCGGAATTGGGTGTCTTTGAAATACAGACACCCTCAGCTGTCCAGAAGACTTACGGTGGCCTCCGTAGCATTACTGAGAAAAGATTTACAGCATTAACTTATAGTTTGTGTGTCAGCGTCTTGGAGACAAGGTACCAGAAGTGAGGTGATATTTTAACGGTTTTCCTGGTCTTAGTGAAAACAGAGCCGGCAGGGCGGTGACGTCACGAGTGTCCCCTGAGTGAGGGTCAGGAGCCCATTGGTCGAAGCATTTCTGGGCCTCCATGATGCTACCATCTGATTGGCCGTCTGGAGGAACAAGGGGAGGGCCGCCCGTGTCCTTCCCGCCTTGAGGAACGGTATTATCAGGGCTGTTCTTGTCCAGTCTAGACGTGACCCCCATCACTCGACCAAGTTACGGGAATTTTCCATCTAAATGCAAAGTTCAGCAAGCTCAAGTATATCTATTCTTGTCTACGCTTGTCTACGATGATAAGTGATTCAGAAGAGTACGCCACACGTGTTCGTCTACAGGGGTATCTGAACTGTAGTATTTGATCCGTGTTCATCTGCTATCTTAAGAGCGATCCGTCACCACATCGCAAAGTAAACTGTGAGAGGAATCTAGGATACGATTCCCATTGTTTAAACTAAAAATTCAGAGTGATTTACATTGATTTAAGGACTGTTGTGGACTGTCAATTTGTCGTCCACTGTGCTGTCCACCCTGTGTGCTTAACACGTGGCGCCCCCATCTCGTTACACCAGTGTTCCACCAGCGGAGCACACTGCTCTAATTCTGACCTTGCTGTGAGCGGCAAACGCACTCCTGCCTCCACCCGCCATCTTTGTGGCAAGCGTTTCTCGCCTTTGTGGCCCAGGTGGCTTCCCGCTCTTGCCAGCCGTACAGTCTCGCTGGGAAGGGACGCATCATCCACCTCACCTCACCTCCGCCCGCGTCGTCCCAGTACACAAGGACCTACCACGGGCTGCCTGTGTGGTTTGGTCTTCAATCAACAGCAGAGTCATAGTGAGCATGAAAGAGTGTGTTGAATGTAGACCGGTATTTTCAAAGTGAATACTCAATTAATAAATTTCTGTATCATTTCATCTGAAGTACATTATTTGTGCTGAGTTTAAGACAGCTTTACGGCCTGTCGGTCCTTCACAATCCCTAAACAGGAAGAAGATCCACAACTAGGGAAGCACGATTGGTACAGACACTTACAGCCAATCTGTGTAATAACTGTAAACAGACCTTAGTGTGTTTGTAATCTTACACTTTGCTACATATTTAGTTATTGTGTGTTTATATTATTTGTGTGTATTGATTTGTGAGGTTAAATATATAGCGTCACTGTTATTAACCATTTCCCTGTATGTTTTCTATTCTTTCGTTCCATGAAACAAGCGGTTATAAAAAGTAAGAGGGTGTGTTTACCCATTTATTTCTGTGTTACTGTTTGTCATTTATTAAGTGACAAGTGTTGTGTTGTGTCATTCAGTGCTGGGGTTAAGCACTGTATTAGCTACTGTATTGTGTTGGTCTACATGACCGGGTGTTGTGCTGATTTGTGATTATTAAGTGAAGTCACTGATATTGTAATTAGTGTTACTAATTATCGTTAGTAGTAGTGTGAGTAATTAGCAATGTGTTGACTAATCGGTGTTCGTCGAGCGATCTCAGTGATCAGCTTAGTGTTAACGTAATTCTTTGTGAGTTAATTGACTGTCAGTTTGATAATAATTAGTGCGGTTACTCACCGATTGCTAATTACTCGGTGTTTGTTTGATTAACTTCGTTAAGCCTAGTTTGATTGCTTGACTATCTGTGTTAACAGATTGTAATTAACGTAAATTATCTTGCTTTTGTTTGACTGTCCAGGAGACAGTAACTAACGTAATTAGTTGCTAAATAACATAAATTGGTTGAGACTTGTTGTTTTGATTGAAATTGCTTAGATCAATTGTCTTGTGTTTCTCTTAGTGTTGTAACGTAATTGATTGCCTTGACTGCCGTCTGGAGAGACGAGCTTTAACGTAATAAACTAAGTGTTACACGGAGGACTGTCTCTGTGACAGGTCTGTCTGTTGTGTCCTTAATTATCTGTCTCTGTGACAGGTCTGTCTGTTGTGTCCTTAATTATTGTTATTATATTGTTTTGTCGCAGACGTTACGAACTGCTACTTGCGTCTGAGTGGTCGCCCACTGTCTCAGTTAGGCTATTGTTGCCATGTATTGTTATTATTAAGTTTTATGAATAAATGTTATTGTTTTAAACTACCAGGTGCCTTTCCGTTCACACCTTTTAAGATCCTTGTCCCCGGTGGTTAACTCTCCCTTACGTTTGAAGTGGATTATCTGTTGCTCTGGATACTTGGACTCGTGCCAAATTTCATAGCCACACACACACCAATAAATTTGGTGAGGCTCTATAGAGCTACTCTGACAACTGCCCTCAGCAAATACAGAAACTCCACGACCCAGAGGATCATAGAGTGCCAAGGATTTGGACTCTGGCGGCGGCTCTACGCCTCCTACTACAGTCTTAGAGTGAAAGCTGCCATTGCAGCACTTCTTGTTGTCAGTGCAATCCGTTCTGACTGAGGTCACTTGTATTAGTGCCATCCCAAGTAGGCATCATCTAACAGTAACTGAAGAAAGGAGGATAGAAGAACAAATCAGTGAATCTGCACACTGGTGCAACATGGTTGCAACTGGCAATCCCAATCATTATGGATTAAAGGGAGGCGCCCGAGGGAGAGAATCTGTAATAGCGAGAATTCCTCTGGGATACAAATATCTATGGAGATTCGGGATGGACAAAACAGCTGAGCTGCAGAATGTGCGATTGACGGACACCGCCTTGACCAAAAAACGAGAGACAGTGCCAATCTTAGAGACATTATAAATATGTGTAGAACAATAAACTCCACATTGTTTGAGTTAGGACAACATTATTGGCTAAATAGAGATACTGCTCTTAAAAGATTCCCCCAATTTGCACCAGCAAGATAATCTAAGTTTAGTGGTTGGAAAAAATTAATCTTCTTGTTTGTTAACTGTCACTTGAGACAGTTAAGCAAGTCCCAGTTGTATCTGGGTACAAGTGACAGGATGAACAACCCAGCATGTTACCTTCCTATTAGAGGGTGATGTACATGTTGCTAAGGATGGATGTATTTTCACAGCATTAGTGACGCTGCCCAATAAACTCGCCCATCGGTGCAAAATTAAAAAAAAAAAATTGTATGGGTAACGAGGAATGGTCTATTTACCAATATTTTAAAATATAGCTAATGACGCCAGTGACATCGTCACGAGATCCCTTGTAGTATCGTCTTTAACAAATAATAAAAAAAACTTCCCTTTAAATTTCATCCCTAACAACCTAATAAGAATCTCAATTCTCAATAAGAATCTTAATAAGAATGTGTGGCTCAACATGACCCCAGAGCTCGTGGCTCAACATGACCCCAGAGCTCGTGGCTCAACATGACCCCAGAGCTCGTGGCTCAACATGACCCCAGAGCTCGTGGCTCAACATGACCCCAGAGCTCAGTAGCTCAACATGACCCCAGAGCTCGTGGCTCAACATGACCCCAGAGCTCAGTGGCTCAACATGACCCCAGAGCTCAGTGGCTCAACATGACCCCAGAGCTCGTGGCTCAACATGACCCCAGAGCTCGTGGCTCAACATGACCCCAGAGCTCGTGGCTCAACATGACCCCAGAGCTCGTGGCTCAACATGACCCCAGAGCTCGTGGCTCAACATGACCCCATAGCTCAGTGGCTCAACATGACCCCATAGCTCAGTGGCTCAACATGACCCCAGAGCTCGTGGCTCAACATGACCCCAGAGCTCGTGGCTCAACATGACCCCATAGCTCAGTGGCTCAACATGACCCCAGAGCTCGTGGCTCAACATGACCCCATAGCTCAGTGGCTCAACATGACCCCAGAGCTCGTGGCTCAACATGACCCCATAGCTCAGTGGCTCAACATGACCCCAGAGCTCGTGGCTCAACATGACCCCAGAGCTCGTGGCTCAACATGACCCCATAGCTCAGTGGCTCAACATGA